ATTTCATTTATATTACTTTGTAATTTTTTCCTATTATTTTTTGTAATTTGCTTCTTTGCTCTTATATGACAAAGATAAAACACTGAAATAAAGGTTTTTATAAAGGCACCCCTACTTTGGTCTAAATGTTCAGTCATTTTGTGAAAATGAATCGTGATAAAAATTGCAATCTTCCTGATTAAAAAAAAACGTGATATGATATTTTTGCCATATCGCCCAACCCTAAAAAATGCAGTGCATATTGTGCAGTAGTAGCAGAACACACAGGCCTATAACTGGCAGAATCCGCTCCAGTATTGCAGCTCATGCGGGGGCACGCGGGCGCTGGCGGGCGGTCTGATGTCTGGTGGAATGATGCCAGTTGACTCCAGGGCATCGGGGGGGGAGGAGGGCTGTGAAAGGAGAGCGAGTCTGTGCCAGGATCAGCCTGTTCTCTGGGCAACAAAAGGCGGCACACATTCAGCTAGTGCCGTGCCAACCGTAGGCCAGCGTCAGTGCCATCGAGGAGGAACTCAAGGGGAGGTGGTGTTTCTGAACAATGTGCCAGGCAGAGACACGGCAGCCAACCAGAGATCAGTGCCTGACAGAAACATGGACAGACGACAGCAGAGAGAGATGGAGGCTCATGTCTGCGATGTATTTTTAAGTGATGAATGAATGAAAGACATGTAGAGACTCTCTCCTGACATCATGGGAAGATGGTGTGTTGAAAGATGAAGTCGGTGACCAGTAAAATGACAAATTTTGCTTAGGCTCTTCTTTTCTTTCTTTTTTTTTTACTTAGGCCGATAAGCAACTACTTAACTACGCCCTGGCAACCATGCAGAAAACCTTAGTAACTGCATAGCAACGCGGTAAAACAATTCAGAACGCCAACTGCATAGCAATGCCCTGGCAACCGTCCAAAACACAACAATAGTGACTGTAGCAATGCGCTGAAACCCAAACAGAACACCATAGCAACATCCTCTCAGGAGGACATCATAGCAACGGGGCTAAAACCACTCAGAACACTATAGTAACGGTTTAGAAACGTGATAAAAATCCACTCAGAACAACATATCAACGGTTTATAAAGGCTAAAAAAAACACTCAGAACACCATAGTTGAACACACAGCTAAAGAAGATCATAACAGCTGTTTAGCAACTCAGAACACCATAGCAACGGTTAAATAATGCACTTAAATCCACTCGTGGCATCATAGCAACGGGTTGGAATTTGTAAAAGCATTAAAACTACTCAGAACACCATAACGGTTTAGAAACGCGATAAAACTCACTTTAGAGAGGTGATCAGAACACCATAGTTGAAATCCAGCAAAACACCACAGGAAGGGTTTGCTAAAAAACACTCAGAAGTCCACAACAACACCTTAGCAACGGCACAATAAAACAATTGTGCGTGTGGTGCAGGTAACGTTAGGCCTACAAACATTACTTAGCCTACATTTTCTTCAGAACAAAAATGCAGTTCTTCATGCAATTTCACTTGTGTTTAACATGAAATCTACTTATATTTATGTGTAATGCTGAATATTATGTAAACTTAGAAAACAATGCTGACCTGTGGGCGCTCTTCTGGAAACCGCCACCATTTTGTTTTAATTCAAACAGAAAATCCCGCCTGTTCCAACGGCACTTCAACAATCGCGAGCGCGCAAAATGATTGACCCGGCCTTTTCACATTTTACTATTAGTTAGGCAGACTTCTATAGCCTAACTGTGATGTGAATGAGGAAATACATTAAATATATGTATTGTTTGTCTCCCATTTGCTCAAACCGCAAAAGAAAAACTCCACAATAGTGTTTTCACAACTTTCATAAATAGGGGGAAAATAGAGAGATTAATAACATGTAGATCTTACTGTCACTCTCATAGCAGCAGTATTAGAAACACCCTCACAACAGTTTAGTTTATTTATTTATTTTATGCAAAGCTAATATAATACAAAGAATAGTGTTATAATTGTATACATTTAAAAATACATATATATTAAAAAATTGCAGGATTCACGATGCTCGTGACCGTTAAAACGCGTCATCACAGTCAGTGAAAATAATGTTTCTGGTTGGAATAAAAGTGACGGGCCACTTCTATTTTTGCTCCTTTTTTAGGGCGTATCGTAGGGTATATTTTTTTAGACAGACTGTATGATTTCACACGACACCTGCTTCATCTGTCAGCTAGACTAGTAGTGATGCGAATTCCCCAAAACCCTTTCAAATGAAGAGCATCGCGTCTGATCTTGACTCCAGTCCAGTGTAATGCGGTTTGAAAACCGATCGTTCATTTTGTTGACTCTTTTTATTTGAACTACCGTCCTAATCCAGAAAGCAGCTCCACACTGACCGCTAACGCTGAACTGAGCCCTCTTTCATACACTTATTATTACATTACTGAACATGTTTCATTGCCTTCCAACATCCTGTTTAACCAAACCATCTGACCTCGAGTCTGTTAAAGCGCTCAACATCTACAACACAGTCTCAGTAGTGCTTCAGATCATCAGGCCTGAGTTCACTCTTTTACACAACAATTGCAGAGCAAAAATGGCAACATACCCTCAAAATATATTATACAGAGAAATGAACCTCAGATGGACCCGCGAGGGTTTATGAATATAGGTTATGCTGAATCTGCCGTATTTAATATGGTCCACGTGTACATTATAACATACGGATTGAAATATATGACTGCTTTAATTGTAGAACATGAATTAAATGAAATTGTAAAAATGTGTAAATTGAAAATACACATTTAGGCTACCTTTAATTAAAAAAAAAAGCACAATTCGTTTTTTATGAACGTTCAACAAAAATAATGCATGTTGTCCGTTATTAAATTAGCAAAAAGTGTCATTTGCATGAAACGTGTCGTTTTAAAAAAGCACTGTACATATTTAATTTAGCCTTCATAATGAGTGTTTTACAGCTTTTTTAAAAATATATATAAACAGAAATGTATTTTCGTGTGTTATTTATGCTCAATCATAAGCCCAAAGAAAAAAAGCGCGTTCATGAAAACCCCTAACAAATATTCACAAATTAACCCCCCAAAATAGCTTACAGAATTAAATTAGAAATAAAAAAGATTTTGGTTGTGACCGGCGCATGATATTAGCAGCATTTTTACATTGATCATTCAATAATAACCAAATGTGTAATAAAGCGTAAATTAAATAGTGAGTTTATGCGCGACTTTTTCCAATTATTCATCTCGATCGATTCAAGAGACTAAAATTCACAAGAATCCGAGATTGATCAGATTTATCAATAATGTTTTTATTCTGTTGTTGTTATTAATATCCTGATTTTAATAGGCTAATTAAACAATCATGACAAATTAAATAATAAAGTCACATATAGGCCTATTAGATATTTCGTTTTTCTATAAATAGGCTAGACTTAATAATCAATATTTATTTAATAAACAAAATGTTTAGCAGATATACTGAATTTTCCATTACTGTTTTTTCCTCATATTTTCCAAAGAAATATATAGTTTGCGTTTTAAATATAGTGTTTTAAACGTATGTTTTATGAAAGGAATTTGCATTTATTCCTTCATGAAAACACGCCGTTGTTCAAATGATTTCATCATATGTATTTTCATTTTAATGTAAATGATTGTAAATTGTCAATTATATGATTTTAACAAATGAAAGGATAATATTCCAACCAAACGCGGTGGGTTTTGAATGGCTTTATCAATAAACCCGTTATCATTTTTCGTTTCGTTTTTACATAGCGAAGCTCCTCTCACAGGAACGCGCTCCAGACGCGCGCCCGCGGACACGCGCTGATTACATGGCGTCTGCTGCCACCCAGCGGCCAGACCAAGAACAACAGCACATTATTTTCAAGAAAAATTGCACCAAAAATGCATTTAGAGTCATGTAAAATTATGTAAAGGCAAGAGTTTCAGCTCTGAATGTTAGGAGAGATAGACAGTAGCCACATGCCTTTGAAAAAGGATCGACTTTATTTACAGGAACATTTTCAGGAGGTTTTCAGATAAAAATTATTGGTGATACACGGCCTCATTGAGACAAAGCTGTATCTTCTCTCGCTCTCTCTCCCTCTGATGGCGAGCTGAGGGACGTATCCGGCGCTCAGCTCCGTGTGTGTGTGTGTGTGTGTGTGTGTGTGTGTGTGTGTTGATTTTGCCCAGTCATGTTGGCGGAGAGAGACGCCCGTGGAGAGATTGCAGCAATATGTCGTGTCGTCTTTTCCTCTTCAGTGACTTTCTCCCTTCTTACCCACAACCTGCATTTGACACACGCAAAACATCAAATCCAGCACATTTAACTTCCGTCTTGCTAAGCAATACATTTTTAACCTGACAGTGATTTCAGACAGACTGGATTCATCAGGATTTGATTGAATAAATACCATAATATTAAAAGTGAAGGTTATGATATTATTGTTGGTTAACAGTGTTTACTCACCCGTTTGAAGTCGTTCATGTTTGTTGCCTGGACAGGAGTGCCGATAAACGTCAAATAGTTCACTTTTGTCGTCTCCTCGTCTCCTTGGTTTGACTTGATAAATAACTGAAAATAAAAACAGGTGGAAAATGAGAAACTCAAGGGGCTCAAAATACCATAATATTAAATATTATAGATTATAAATATTATAGTTCACCCAAAAATGAACTGTGTCATCATTTATTCTCCCTCATGTTGTTCTAAACCTGTATGAGTTTCTTTCTTCTGTTGAACACAAAATAATATATTCTGAATGTTGGTAACCAAACAGTTGATGGTTCCCATTGACTTCCATAGTATTTTTTTCATACTATTAAAGTTAATGGGATTTTTTTTCATACTATGGAAGTCAATGGGAACAAGCAACTAATTCTTTTCATACTATGGAAGTCAATGGGAATTTTTTTCATACTATTGAAGTCAATGGGAACCAGCAACTAATTTTTTTCATACTATGGAAGTCAATGGGAACCAGCAACTAATTTTTGTCATACTATGAAAGTCAATGGGAATTTTTTTCATACTATTGAAGTCAATGGGAACCAGCAACTAATTTTTTTCATACTATGGAAGTCAATGGGAACCAGCAACTATTTTTTTTCATACTATTGAAGTCAATGGGAACCAGCAACAAATTTTTTTCATACTATGGAAGTCAATGGGAATTTTTTTCATACTATTGAAGTCAATGGGAACCAGCAACTAATTTTTGTCATACTATGAAAGTCAATGGGAATTTTTTTCATACTATTGAAGTCAATGGGAACCAGCAAAAAAATTTTTTTCATACTATGGAAGTCAATGGGAACCAGCAACTAATTTTTGTCATACTATGAAAGTCAATGGGAATTTTTTTCATACTATTGAAGTCAATGGGAACCAGCAACTAATTTTTTTCATACTATGGAAGTCAATGGGAATTTTTTTCATACTATTGAAGTCAATGGGAACCAGCAACTAATTTTTTTTCATACTATGGAAGTCAATGGGAACCAGCAACTAATTTTTGTCATACTATGAAAGTCAATGGGAATTTTTTTCATACTATTGAAGTCAATGGGAACCAGCAACTAATTTTTTTCATACTATGGAAGTCAATGGGAACCAGCAACTATTTTTTTTCATACTATTGAAGTCAATGGGAATTTTTTTCATACTATTGAAGTCAATGGGAACCAGCAACTAATTTTTTTCATACTATGGAAGTCAATGGGAACCAGCAACTCTTTGGTTACGGACATTCTTTATAATATCTTTTGTATTCAACAGAAGAAAGAAACTCATACAGGTTTAGAACAACGAACATTTTAGTTTTTGGGTGAACTATCCCTTTAAATAAGATGAACATTTAAAGATGGACTATTTTTTACAAAAGTTGCAAAAATTATGTTTGGATTTTATGGATGTGGAATTTATACAATGCTAAAAGTATTTTAATATGCTGAAATGAAATCTTGTAGTTATTTATTTTTTATTTGATATTCTTATTATTTGTACACATTTCTATTTATTTGATGTATTTTTTTTATGTATGCAATTTGTATTTTAAGAAAAATATGCTATACGGATTGAATGACGAGTGTACTCGCACATACAGTCACACTGTTGACGTTCTGAAACTTGACGTATCGGAGCGGGATGAGTCCGTCATCTTTGTAGTCCTCCTCGGACAGATCCAGCGCCTGCGTGGCTTCACTTCTCTCCGCGTCATCGAAACCCATGGAACGAGGAAGATTAATGAAGATCTTCACACTCTTCGGGGCTTGAGCTGAAAACACACGAAGAGACGATACAGCAGGACACTGTTTATTTCAGCTTGTACCACGATAATAGTTGAACAAACTCAGGGTTGCAGGATTAGTTGAGTTGACCAAACCAAACCAACCAGGCTTTGATCCTGAGTTCAGGAGTTTAGGTGTGACATCAGTAGTGAACAGCCAATCACACGCTGAGAAAGAGTGAAACTGCGATTCATTTCTCACGAATTCGTAAATATACGAGTAAATATGAGAGTGATTTGCGCGTAAAGAGACCTTCCCGAAAACTCATCTCCTGATTCACAAATACTTCGTAAACGTCAGATGTGATAGTGAAATGTGTGTGTGTGTGTGTTAATGAATTCCAATCAGTCGTAAATGGGACGCGCGTGCACGCTCATTCTCAATTACCATAAACCCCGCCCATTAAATCCGACTGACAACTATATATGGGCATCATATTATGACACCAAACGAAGGATTTCAACATGTCTTCTCAAAAGCGAATGAAAAAGAAACATTTCTCAGAAGCAGAAGTTGAAGTTTTATTATCCGAAGTTCATTCAAAACACCACATTTTATTTTCAAGCGTACATAGTGGCGTATCAGGTCCTAAAAAAAGAAGCTTGACATCATTACAGATGCAGTTACTGGAGTTTCATCTGTTAATCAAACAGTCCCAGAAGTAAAAAGAAAAACCGGATGGAATTACTATATATAATATTTTTTCAAAATGCTGTGTAAATATGTACCCGATTAAGGTGAATTAAGATGCATTAATGAGCAAAACGTTCGGGTGTTAAACTCACTGTTTACGCGTGGCTGGGAGCAGGTGGAGATTTCTCTCGTATCAACTAACATTTGGAAAATACGAACATTTTAATGAATCCGAAAATTTACGCCAGAACCACTTTACACACGATTCACACAAAAATTCGTTCTGCTCGTGTTTCATGAATGAGACCCATTGAAATTCATTTCTGGCACGATTCACTTAATAAATAAAAGTATTAAAATATCAAGAACTTAAATTTACACCGCAAGAAGAAAATAGCTGTCTATGAAAGAGGACAACTAAAAGAAAAGGTCTCGCTACTGTATATCAGTGCAAGTTGTGAAGTTATACAGTTGATAAAGGTATAGAGAGAATTGAACATTTAAGCTCATGTCATTTTATAGCTTCATCTATTGATTCTAAAGCGTATTTATATTACCTTTATATAGTTAAAATCTGCGTAATAATAATAATTGATGAACTACAATTGTGCATGTGTGATTGATTAAGGGTATAATAACTACATACATAATATCTAAATCATATAAATGTATTATTCTAAATAATAAGCATTACTAAAAGCCGACGATTTCGTCTTTAAAAATCATTTGCTATGTAGTGACCTTTAATGTGGAGTAGAAACAGGTGGAGTGACTTTATAGCATCAGACATGTGACACTTTGCTCACAGCTGATTGGTCCAAGTTCGGTTCTGATTGAACTTCTTGCTCAAAATGCCTGTTTAGGAAACTTATTAAATGTAAACACATTAGGATTGTCTGAATGTAAACAGACGAGTGTTAAAATATCAGATCATTTTGCATAATAAATTCAGCTGTTGTTTTCTATTCTACTCTTAAGTTAAGAAACAACATTCTTGACGACGAACAAAATAGAGAAAACCTCTAATTCTTCATGATTTATTTATACAACTTACATTTACAGATTACATATTTTGATATACCTGAACGTGTCAGTAGGTTTAGCTTTTTTTAATTATTATTGTCTATATTAGTTTTAGTAACAAGTTAAACTAAATAAAAAGGATAAAAACATGCAAATTACTAGAGGTTCTGACAAAATGTTAATTGCTGCAGTGTTTTTTAAAAATAATTAATTAACCAGAATTTATTATTATTTTGGTTTTAGTGAATGATTCAGCGTTTTTGAAGGAATCTGAGTGAATGATTCAATGACTCACACACGTTTAACAGTCACTTGTCTCCACCTACTGGTGTAACGATGTAATTAATACAATCTTAATTTGAAGCATCAAGTTACTTTCTAAAGCTGATTTACTCTATTTTGATCTCTACTGTAGACATCAGTGTTTATATCTGAACTATAATCTTTTATCCCAGTGCTTCCGTGATCATATGAATGATTGTAAGACAGAAATAATGAAACTGTGTGGTTGAAAAGGCTGTTTGTGAAGCTGTTTCATATCTACACATGACACTGGCTCTCTCTGGATCAGAACGCAGATCTGAATGTTCGCTGTGATTTTATCAGAGGTTTAATAAACACAGGAGAATCACTGCGATTTAGGAATGAGATCGTGTGGGTGTTTGCAGGGTTCCCACACCTCGAGTAACTTCAAATTCAAGGACCTTTCAAGGACTTTCCAGGTCCAATACCCTCAAATTCAAGGACTTAATGTGGGGACACATTTCTTGTGTCCACAAACAAACGTTGAGGTATCATCGTAGTAGTTTTGTGTGCGCGTGAACGTCATGGCAACGTACAACACAAAGTACCTCACGCGGGAAACAGTTAACTGTCACCGTCCCACAGGTGGGACGTTTGCCATTATATTTTTAAAACGATAATATCTTAGTAAAAACCTTAAGTAATATTGACAAACTATATATCATTTGAAAGCTTACAATCTCTAGTTTCCATATTTGGTGATTGATTTTCAAAATAAATTCCAGATGAGCCGTAATTTATCAATTTGCAACAAGAATATTTTCATACTCCTAAGGCGTGTTCAGACCTTTATTTTGAAATAGCAATGAACATGAAAAATCATGAAGAAAATTGTAGAAACCTAGTTTGTTTTCATGCCAAGAGTTCAAAAGATAGCATCCATTCAATTATTTTAGGAAAAAAAGGTCTGAAAATGTTTTAAATATAAAGAAAAAAATAATAAATTCACCATTTGTGGTGTGGCAGCGAGCTATGACGCACATGCGTGTTCTTTGTATGCGTTTATTAGAGGCTAAATTCATATCAAAATCTGCCAAACTTCCCATACTACTTCTGAATAGGATGTCTACTTCATAAATTGTATGGAAATTGTGGAAATAATGGTTCATATCACTCAAAACACATATGGAAATGGAGGCGCCCTTATATGGGCAGTAATGGAGTCTGTGCCCTAGTGGAAGCGTTCGGTACTGCGCCCAAACAAAATCTCACTGAAAGCTCATTTTTTGAGATATCAACCTAAAATTTGAAACACAACTTGTTCAGATTTTTGGCTTTGATTTCTCTGCAGTTTTAGAGTAGCCCAGGTTTTGAAAATATATATTTTATATAAAATATGAATAATTATTTTTTTTACATTGTACATTTCCATAAACTCAAACTTCTATAACTTTGTTTCACTTTCTTAATTTATTTCACTTCTACATAAATCTGCCAAATGTCTTCTTTAAAACAAGACCAATCTTACGTCTATATTCCAAAGCATTCTTGAATTACAACCATTTATGTTCGAAATGTGCATTTTCATGTCTATTCAAAAAAAGGGGGGGGGGGGGGGGGGGGGGGGGGGTGACAGTTAACAGGCTAACGTCACGCGTAAATGCGAGTGAAACACTAAGCCCTTTCACACCTACCTTGTTTGGTCCGGACTTTCGGACTTTTCAGTTTGGTCCGAATCAAAATTACAGGTGTGAAACCCACGGTCCGGACCAAACAGATGAAATTTGGTCTGACGAAAAGAGGTAGTCTCGGTCTGGGTCAAACTGAAGAAAGGTTTGGTTCGTTTCTAGTGTGAAAGCATTTCTGTATGGTTCGGACTATTAGACCTTTAACAGGACGCTCCGGTGGATCCCGCATAGCCGAAAAAACAGAAGATGGCAGGAAAAATGAGCCATGGCACACGGGGAGAGGAGGAGACGAGGTTTTTAATTGAAGTATGGTCTGATGACATAAGAAGTCAACTTGCAGTCTTCTCCTTTCCTGCCGGCGACGATAAAATGTTCGCACGACGAGGACGTTCATTTGGCGAATTTGAACTAGCCTTGTGTAACTAGCCTTGGTGCTGCAGGTAATTATGCCATAAAAATAACAATATAGTTGCAACGATATGCGTCTGTTCATTCATGTTGTCAAAGTTACCCGCCGAATTGACCACACGCTGACATCAGACGCACGTCCATTTACAAACCAATCAATGTCAAGATGCAGCCCACACAGATGATGACGACAGGACGCAAGTGTGTCACGTAAAGTTCTTTAGTGCGCTCGCATGATTGCAGTGTGAAACCAAACCAAAACTTTCTGAAAGTATAAAATGTATCAAAACGTGAACTTTGGTTCGGACCTTTCAGGTGTGAAAACTCTGTCAGTAATGACTCTCCCTCATGTTGTTCCCCGTAAGACTTTCGTTCATCTTCAGAACACAAATGAAGATATTTCTGATTAAATCTGAGAGCCGTCTCACTCCTCCATAGGCTTCTTAGGGATTGAAACTGGCCGGCCCAGAAAGTTATTAAAGTCCCACTCAGATCATATTTTGAGCTATTTTTAAACATTCCCAGTGGTCTTTAAATTATGATTATGCCATTT